CTTTATTTTTAATAGATTCTATGCCGATACCAATGGTAGACTTAGGATTTGCCATCAGTGCCACAGACACCGGAGCCGGCCAGACATACGAAAATATGAAGAATGTGGTCAAACATATTGTTAATTCGTATGGGTTGGTCAGCATAAGATATGGAGTCATCCTGTTTGGCGAGTCAGCGACAACATACATTTCTTTCTCGCGAACTTTTCCTGACGAGATGGCATTGTTATCGTCCCTCGATTTGCCACAAAGACTCCGTGGAGAGCCAGACTTGCAGGAGGCTTTAGAGGAAGCAAAGACAATGTTTGATCAAGCGACCCCCCGACCTGGTGCTAGAAAAGTCCTTGCTGTCATCGTCGATAACGATTCTTCCAATAATAAAAGTGAAATTAAGGAAGCGGCGAAGGTCTTAAAAGATGACGACATCCAAGTCATACCCGTAGGCGTTGGACCCAATGTCGATGACGAGGAACTTGAAATTATGACAGGGAACAAGAAAAACGTTATTAAAACAGACAAGGATGGCGACTCGTCGAGCGTGGGTGAAGAAGTCATCATGAAGATCCATGAGGGTGAGAATTCTGCTTACGCGTTCTCAAAGTGATGGTTTTGCTTGGTCTTACCAAAGATTGTCTTCCATCTCCTCCAATCACTCCTTCTGCTCTTTTTTCTCTTCTACCATGACATTTTATTGCCTTCCCAGCCTTTTCCTTCCTTCTTTTTCTTAACATCCTTCTCCTTTTCCCATCTCGCCTTCTTCTCTTTCCTCTCCAGCTTCTTCTCGTACCTCACCTACTTAGTTCCATTTATCCTTGTCTTAACTCCTGTCATTTATACCTTCCTTGTCGCTTCTCCATCCTCCTTCTCCAGTTCCTCTCCTTTGCTTCCTCTTTCCATCGCTCTTTCCTGGAGCGTTCTCCTGCTCCCACTGTTTGTCTTACCTCCGATTACCATTGTCTCTCCCTTGTCTTCCCCTTCCTTGTCTTTCTCCTCATTTTCTTCATCCACACCTTCCGCTCTCCCGACTTACTCCTTTTACTTCAACTCAACTATGAATCTCTCTTTTCCTCCAAGTAGATCCTCCCACCGTGCCAGAAACAGACCTCTTATTTGCCCTTAGTGCTAACGCAGTAAAAGACAGAGACAACTTCCAGCAGATGAAAGATATCATCAAGGCCATGATTGATCAGTACGGGACATCTAGTCTTCGGTATGCTGTTATGACGTTCGGAAACGTACCGATTATAAGAATTTCCTACGATGCAGCTTTCTTGGACGATAAAGCCTTGATGAACTTAGTCGACGCGGCTCAGAAAACTTCAGGAGCATTATTAGATAGTGCTCTTTCAAAAGCCAAGCAGTTCTTCGAAACCCAAGGTCGTCCTCTCGCGAAGAAGGTGCTGGTGGTGATTTCTGATATCAAGTCTAGCAGTTCTCTTGGAGATGTCCAGACGCAGGCCAAGTTCTTGGAAGAAGACGACATCAAAGTTATTCCAGTCGCCCTTGGAAAACAGTCCGACATGAAAGAACTGTCTGCAACCACACCGAATAAAGAGAACCTTGTAGATATTGACGAAGGTGATGATCCAGCAGAAACTGCCGAGATTATTATGCTGAAGATTGTGAAAGGTACTCGCACTATATGTTTTTAGTAATCACCATTTTAAAACTTAGGGATAGTAACTTTTACAAAAAACACCCTCTTAAATCACTACACCATTAACCCAAGCAGTGTACACGGTGATGGAAATAGGTCCAAGTGGCGTCCAATTCTGTTTGTAATCATGCGAGTGATCAAAGAAATTGCACGATTGCGAGGCGGAAGTCCGGTTTTTCAATCACGGTATGATTACAGACAGAACTGTGCGACAGACAGTGCTGCTCATTAAAACTGTGATAAATGTTAGAAACGAAAAACTTGACCGTATTCAGAGAAAAAAAATAGCAATTGGCGTTTATTCACGGGTAAATAAACCAAATAGTCTGTCTATCAGCCTGCTCATTTGACTTAATGTACCGTCCAAGTACACAGAAATGACGTGTTAATTGCCTTCTTTAACTTTTCGACTAATGCTAGAATTGACTTGCCGATATCCAATCACGTTCGAGAATTTTGTCGTAATTTTGAATATCAAAGGGAATTAGAAAGCAAGCATTTGATTTTTCTGTCGTGACAATCGTACGTTCTTCAAGTATTGGCTTGACAAGTCGATCTGTTTTTAAAGAATGCAAGCATGTTAACGGTAGAAAACTCACCTTTAAAACTTGCTAGGTTACCTATGGTGTTTATTTCCTTGATTTCCTTTAGATGTTCCTAAGATACCGGAGATGAACTTAGCATTTGCCATCAGCGCCAGAGCTATAGATGACGCGACAAACTTTGCGAAGATGAAGGACATCATACGGTCAATCGTGCAAAAGTTTGGCTCAAGTCGAATCCATTACAGTGTCATTACATATGGCGACCCACCAACCACTGTTCTGCCATTCGATCGTAGGCTTCCTTCCGACGAGGATTTAAAACAGCGCATCAGTATGTTCAACTAACAAGTTTGAGACCCCTATTTTATAAACGTAACATCTTATTGCATAGCTTTGAATTTGCAAAATTTTTTAAAAATGAAAGTAGTTGGTCCAAATAGACTTAAATAGGGGCCTCGTGTTGTCAACTGTTCCCGGAGTCTGTATAGAGACCTAAATGGCAAATTTAACACGAAATTTTTGTTTCATGTTAGTTTTAACTAACTAAAGGCAAATATGCGTTTGTAAGCCACTTCCCGTACGTTTGACGCTGGTTACATCTGTTTTCATCTTGTTCTACTGTGAAAAGCAACACTTGCTGTGATTGGTCGTTTATGTTATAAATTTGGTAAGATACGGTTACCTTGTGGTCGATGTCCTGGAGGTGGCGGTTCTAGTCTCTTGGGTGACATTCATTTAAATTTTGATCATTGCAGAATCCATTTCCAAGAACGATGGTGGTGCAGCGTTGGTTGAGGTGCTGCAAGAGGCCACAAAGCAGTTTGATGCTGCAGCTAAAGTCCGGCCTAATGCGAGGAAGGTTCTAGTTGTTATAGCGGATAAGGAATCCGATAGCAGGGGAGAGGATCTCAAGAAGGAAGTTTTCAAGTTGCAGCCCGTTGGCATCAAGGTTATTGCTGTTGCCTTGGGTGAAGAATCTGATGAGGATGAACTTGATATTTTGACGCCTGAAGAGGGTGCAGTCATTGAGGCTAACAGTACTGACGGCGCCAGGAAAACCGCTCATGCCATCATGGAAAAAGCTCTACAAGGTGAGGTGCAGTCGCGTTGGGAAATTTGAGAGTCGATGTATTAAGGACTTGTGTGAACGTTGGACAATTTAAATTTGAGTTTCAAATTAAGAACATTTATGTAAGTTTGCCTGGTTCCTAACATGTGGCTCGTAGCGTACGTGATAGTAGGGCCCGACAAAGGCACAGGTTCGAATCTTGTCGAAGCCTGAATGTTTTTTAAGCTCCTGCGAATTTTTTAATTGTAGCTTATCTACGACTAAAACCTCCATTTCTCACTTAAACGTTAGTTTCTGTTCACTCGAAAACACTGCCCTCTTTGTAAGTGCTTAACTTGTTTGGGTGGATCACAACACCGAATTTGATAAGTAACTTTAGTTTACTCTTTTTACAATGTAGATTCTTTTCCTTTTTTTTTATTATAGATTATCCAGAAACACCCTACCTTGATATCCTCTTTGCCATCAATACCGCTGGTAGAGATGCAGTGAAGACCTTTGATATGCTGAGAAATGCTCTTAAGAATATTATACAAATGTACGACCCAGATCGCGTACGGTATGGTGTAATCATTTATGGCGACTCTGCATCGCTCGTTGTCCGATTCTCTAAAGATCCTCAAGAGGTTAAGAAACTGACCAGGGATATCGACGAGCTGTCGCAACCTTCTGGATTACCAAATCTCGAGGGACTGTTACAAGCAGCAAAGAAGGTGTTTGAGCAGGATTCCGGCCGACCCAAAGCAAACAAGGTGCTGGTTGTAGTAACTGATGCTAAATCGTCATCAACGTCAGATGACATAAAGCAGGCTGCTAAACCGCTGGAGGAAGATGGGGTAACAGTTGTTGCAGTAACCGTAGGGGATGAAGCAAATAACAAACAGTTGGAGAAAATGATACCTGACAAGCAAACGCCTTTGTCTATTGACAAGGAAGGAGAGCCCAATGAAATAGGAGAAAAAATTATGGAGAAGGTTTTGGAAGGTGGGTGTAACTCATTAATCCATAAAGTTTATCTCCAAACTTATTCACTCAACTAATTTTCTGTTAGGATAGGCAAACACTCGGAAATTCACCTAAACCTTCAAAAGTTGGTTTGGAATGGAGAGGATTGGACTGCTGATAGCTACCTTAAACAATTTGAGCTTCATTTTCCAAGAGAGACACACTGTGATGTACCTCTTTCGTTACTGTCTGTTATTGTTTCTTTTCAGCCATCCCTCAGATACTTGATTTAGATTTGTTGTTTGCCATAAGTGCCCGTGGTGCGTTGGACTCGGCGAAAAACTTCCGGGAAATGAAGGACATTATCGACAGGGTCATCGCCAAATATGGTATCGGTAAAATCCAATACAGCTTCGTCGTGTTTGGATCTACCCCGGCGGTAAGACTGACCTTTACACGGCCTGTGAACGACGAACAACTGAGAGGAATCCTACAACAAACACAACGCTCAGTTGGTGCAAGCCTAAAAGATACACTAAAAAGAGCTGAGAGGATCTTCGATGCTTCCCCCCGACCGAACGCTAAGAGAGTGTTGGTTCTTGTGATGGACAAACGGTCTGACAACCGTCTCGATGACGTTAAATTGTCAGCCGAGTCTCTATGGAGGTCTGGTGTCAAAGTTATCCCAGTGGCCTTTGGACGAGAGGCTGCACAGGATGAAATGGAGGCTACAACGTCCGAGGAAGACAATTTGATTGACGTGAGAGACACCAGCAATCCTGACCAAGTCGCCCAAGAGATCATGGAAAAGGTTTTAGAGGGTCAGTGATGTTTGTGAGGCTCAAATATGCTTTTATTGTGTTGTTTTGTGCTAGTCGCCACTACTTCATACACGGATGAATTTATTCACGTAGAATCATAACCATGAGTTTTCATTGCTTTCCTTTTTCGTTCTGTAGATTTCAATGTTCCCAAAATGGACATAGCGTTTGCCATCAGCCCCACAGCCCACCAGTCAGATGCAAACTTCATGAAAATGAAAGACACAGTTAAACAATTTGTGGATAGATTTGGTGTGCACGGAAGGGTGCACTACGCTTTGATGACGTTCGGAGATCCCCCGACGAAGGATTTGCAATTTAGCGACAAAATGGCAAGTCCAAGCACTCTTAAGGAACTGATAGATGGAATCGGTAAGCCATCTAGGGAAGCTGCATTGGATGAAGCTCTCAGTGCAGCCAAGTTGTTGTTCAGCCCTGGTGCAGGTGGAAGGGAGGATGCTGAGAAGATTCTGATAGTCATGACCGACAGGGAGTCAGACAGCAGCAACAAAGATGTCATGATGTCTGCCAAACAGCTGAAGAATGAAGGAATCCGTGTCATTGCAGTTCCGCTTGGTGACGAGGACAACTTAAATGAAGTGGAGGTTATTGTATCCATCGGTGAAGACGTTATTAAGCCGAAGACTACAGACAAACCCAGGCACATCTCAGATGAGATTGTCGGAAACATTCTTAACGGTTAGTTGCGTCTGTATTTGTGGTCATTGTAGACACAACGATTACTGTCCCTACCTCGGAGGCTTGCGAATTGTCCGACTGTGTAGTAATGAAGGAATTTGTCGCCTAGTTTATGGCCTATCTCCTCCTCCTCCTCCTCCTCCTCCTTGGAATTTTCGAGGGACTCAAGATTTGTTTTTGCTCATGACAAATATTCGACATCTTTGTTTATTGGTATTTATTGTAAATATATGATGACAGAATGCTTTCCTAACGTGAACGTCTCTTTTTCTTATGTCATTGTATCTTTTAGATGAACTTCGAACTCCCAAAATCGATTTAGGATTTGTGATCAGTGCCTATGCTACATCAGCAGCAGATACCTTCCAGCGTATGAAGGAGACTATTAATGCCATTGTTGACGAGTATGGAGTCTCTGGTAGAATCCGCTACGGTCTTGTCACGTTTGGCCGAGACGCAACTCGAAAACTGAGCTTTAGCCGAGAGATTTCTGACATCAACTCTCTAAAAGATAAGATAAAGAATACTCGTCGTCCTTTTGGAGATCCTGACTTACAAAAAGCTTTAGAAGAGGCCAAGAAATTATTCGAGACTGAGCCAAAACGTCCTGATGCCATGAAAGTTATTGTTGTGATAACTGATAAGAAATCCACGAGTCGTCCCGAAGATGTGAAGATGGCTTTCGTTCCGTTAGCGGAGGAAGGTGTTAAAATTATCCCTGTAGCGGTTGGTTCATCAGCAGACCCCGATGAACTGGAAAGGGTTACATCCAATCGCGGTTACCTCATCATGACAGAGAGGGAACTGGATCCAGATGTGACTGCGGAACAGATAATGGAGATGATTTTGAAAGGTATTTCAAATTTTGTTTAAAAGTTTTGAATCTAAGAGTTATAGTCGAAGGGGAACGTTATGGACCAGCTGTCAGTAATTCTGCGTTGTCGAAAGTGACTGAAATTAAAACATCAGGCCTCGTGTTGTTTATCAGCGGTTGAGGCGATTTTATCCCAGCATGTCATTTACACTACCTCTACTTGTCTCCTCTTTGACCCTGACCATTGCTTGAACGAAAAGATCTCTGTCCTAACAAATATTGTTGTTCTCATCACCTGCAAAATCGTTGGACTCCACGATACAGAAGAAATGATGAATTAAGCAGAGGTAGTAAAGTATTTTACTTTTGCTGTTAAACGAGTAGAATGTTTGGAGTGATTTTTACCCTGTTCTAGAGACCTTAAAGGAGGTAAATCGAAATACATCCCTAATATATGTTGTTTGCCTTATTCATCAAAGATTTGCCAGCTGTGCCCCAAATGGACCTTGTACTCGCCATCAGCACCATCTCATCAAATGCTAATGCAAACCTCGCTAAAATCAAAGAGGTGGTCCAGGAACTGATTGACACGTACGGTGTTCAGCGGGTCTACTACAGTGTCATACTGTTTGGTCGGGTTCCTAGCATAAGGATAAGGTTTACACAACAGTTGGATGAAGCTTCCTTGAAGTCAGCTATCCAGGGTCTGCGAAGACCTGGTGGAGGTTCATCGCTTTCTGTTGCGCTAGAGACGGCTAGAGGCGTGTTTCGGGACGGCCGTCCAGACTCCAAGAAGGTCGTGTTGGTAGTAATGGATGCGAAATCAGGAAGCAGTATGGACGATGTGAAAGAGGCCGCCAGTGAATTAGAAGAGGATGGTATCAAGGTCATTCCACTGATGTTGGGAGGTCAGGCAGATCCGGATGAGGCCTCAGCTACTACCACGAACAAGCAGAATGTTGTGAAGGCAAATGACACCAGTGATACGAAAGCCGTTGCCGAGGAAATCACTCAGAAAGTTACAGACAGTGAGTAAAAGAATTACATCTGCATTCATCGGTAGGAAAAATTTGCGAAAGCCGAGTGAGGAGATCAGGTCTTAGATTCAGTTAGTCTGAAGTTTGTAATCTCTTTCCGGCCCCCATAAAGCGCAGAGCACAGCATTGATATACATTTGTCGACCGTTCTTGGACTTTCTACAAACTTTTAAAGGAAATGTTTGCCATAATTGGCAGTAATGTTTTAATCTGATAGACCAATTTGCCGTTGACGCTAAGAGTACTGTGCCTCGTTAGTTCACAACATTTTGACCACTGAGATGACGAACATCGTTGTCAATAAGAGTACAGACCACGCTAAACCGATGTCGACTTGTTAAATGCCGCGATTTTTGCATTCAAACAAATAGTAGTTCAAGTTCAAATTTGCGTTAAGTTTACTTTCGAGTTAGGTGTGGTTGACCCTTACAGCTGAGCATCGTGATTAGCTCATAACAAATTATGGTAGTACCAAGTTATTTGAATTATTTTTCACGAGGCTTTGACTCTTCACCGTTGAAAAGTAACTTCTGTTACCACTGCTTTATTCTAGGTGAGCCAGTTATTCCATTGGTTGATATGGGATTTGCTATCAGTGCAACGGCAATAAATTCCAGAGAACATTTCCGGAAAATGCAAGAAGTCATCAAAACCTTCGTTGATAAGTACGGTTCTCAGAGGATTGCTTACAGTGTTCTGACATTTGGATCGAACCCAACTATTAGTGTCCGCTTTAGCGATGCAGCAAATGGAGACGAGGTCTTGATGAGCATCATAAACAACATACCACAAAACGAAGCGAGAGCGTCTCTTGATAAAGCCCTGCACGGAGCGAAAGAGCTTTTCAAGGATTCCAATGGTGCCCGAAAGGATGCTATGAAAGTTTTAGTGGTGATCACAGACGAAAAGTCGGATAGTCTGGAGCAGGAAGTGAAGAAAGCAGCTCAAAGACTCGACGAAAACGACATCCGGGTTATTGGCATTGCACTTGGAGATGGAAGTGATGGAGAACTGGAGGGGATTACTGATATTGAGGGTGACGTCATCAACACAACCGATTCGACTTCACCCGAGAAAATTGTGGAGAAAGTAGTTGAGCAAGTCTTAAACAGTAAGTTCCTGAGTAATGTTTTTTACTTTGTCTGCCGCACTGGTGATCATATAAATAATATAAGACGCAGTTTTTTTTATGCAAATTCAACACTTACTCGCAAGTGCCCAGATTCACAGCTTATGAAAATTTTCCTGTCATCTTTTGTTTTGTTTGTTTTTCAAATTGGAACGTAGACAAAACTATTCCCCTTATGTTTTGGAAGACAAGTAAGATGACGCATGTTGCGTGCGAGATTAGAAACGTTTTTTGCGTGTCTGAAAGTCCCCGCCTCAACCCTCTCACCTGCCCGCCCCTGAACGTTGTACGACCATTTTAATTACGTTTTTTGAATACATTACTGAAGATAGCAATCCACGAGTCATAAATTATAAATAAAGGAAATTGATGTTTTGGAAAGTTCTTACGAAGTGGGTGATGGTACACAAAAGTGAGATGACAATGATTTTTTGTTGCATATGCACACGATAACACCATGATTTTTATTCAATCATAATTTAAATGGTATGTTTATCGCAGAAACTGCTACACTTGATGAGATTGATTTGGCATTTGCCATCAGTTCTGCTGCCGCGGGCTCTGACACAACTTTCCAGCAAATGAAAGACACTGTACAAGAGATAATGCAGACTTACAAAACCGACAAACTGCGGTATGCTGTGATGGTGTTCGGAGGTCGGGTCCTTTCTCCTATCAACTTTGCATTGACACTTCCAGATGACAAAACGGTACAGTGATTTATGCCATCATTCCAGTACATAATTGTAATGCAAGAATGATAGGTACCCATTGAGTGGGACGGAAGGACGGAAAAATGTGTAGGTCGTGGTCATGACTTACTTACTGAGCGCAGCGAGATTTGTGCTTCATTATGGAGAACCCAATATTTCCCTGTCCAGCCTGACCTAAGTCACTAAGCGTTTTATTTTACGACCGTCGCTCTGTCTTTTTTCTTCCTTTCACCTTATGCCTCGCTGCTCATGACGTCGTAATACTCACCCCATCACAGCCCTCTTAAGGGTAGTTTTTGTCCTATTAAGAAAAAGCGCGCGTAGAGCCATACGGTTCATATGATAATTATCAACTATTCACCTCAGTGCCAGTGGCTAGTGGTGGATATCTACCATATATACCGAGCTAAGACGTAGATATCCACCGCCGACACTGAGGTGAATAGTGGTTTCAGAGTATATTCAAAGAGTGAGATAATATACCACACTAAGATGATTTTAACTCATTTATTTTTGCAAAGATTACAACATTTTCTGGCGCGAGTTTTTCGAGTCCCGCGCGAGTCGCTCGTAGGAGAATAGCAAAGGATATTCGGACTTCGAGTAACCAATCAGAGCGCACATTTTATTCTATCCACTGTTTTAGTTTAGACCTACAAGTCTTATAGCATGCCTAAACGTTACGACGGCAAGTCAGCACAAGAAGATGATGTCGCCTAGTTGTACATCACCATATAAAGGTCTATGCTTTGCTTTGCTGTGATTGGGTACTTTTCAATAGCTTTGTTCGGCATATTTGTCAAAATTAATCACAAACGATAGGACCAGCCTAAACTGTATTTTAGTTCTCCACGAATAATAACCACGTACATAATGCTTCATAATCTTCGTGTTAAAACTGAACTTTTCCTTCTATGTGTCTTTTTGGTTCCTCTTTGGCACCATGGAGTCTTCGTGCGCTCATGTAAAGGAATAGATGAAATTCATAGCGCGCAAACTAATATTAGCCGCCATTGAAGCACTTTGATATTTTATAAGCAATTTTTTACCGTTTGAAATATCCAAAATTTCCAGGAATTTTCCCGCTTTGATTACATAGATAAATCTGAAATGACACAACTTGAGTATCTCCTGTATTCTCCCTCAGATAAAAACGTATTTCAACTCCATCTCGCGTCCTTCGGGTGAACCCAACCTCGAGCAAGCTTTGTCAGAAGCCAAGAAATTATTCGACCAGGCTTCGCCACGCCCAAATGCCAAGAAAGTTTTAGTGGTCATCATGGACAAGAAATCTTCCAATAAATATCAGGAGATTGACGTCGCTTTGAAGCCTCTCAAGGAAGATGATGTCAAAGTTGTGCCAGTAGCCGTTGGCACTGATGCCAGTTTAGATGAATTGAAGAACATTACGTCCGCAGAGGAATATGTAGTGACAGCAGAGAAGAGCACAGATCCTGTGAAGCTTGCAGAGAAGGTTATGATCAAAGTGACCAAAGGTAAATGATTGTCGATCATGCGCAATGTGTTGGTGAGAGAGTAGGGCAATGTAACAATTGACCTTACTGAGGCTGCTATTGTCACCTCTTCTCATGGATGTACTACATCTCTTGTTTACAAAATTTAAAAAGATGTTTCTTTTTTTTATAGAAATATTGGACGTACCTGAGACGGACATGATTTTTGCAATCAGCGCCACTGCACAGCTGAATCAATTAGATAACTTCCGTCAGATGAAAGAGATCATCAATGCCATGATTGACAAGTACGGCACAGGAGACCTAAAGTACTCGGTCATAGTCTACGGAGATGAACCACAGCTAGGACTTCGCTTAAACAGCAACTTTGAGTCGGACGAAACTCTAATGAATTCCATCAGCTCAATTCGTAGTGGTCGTGGAGCATCACTTTCTAAAGCCCTAACACTTGCGAACCAGGTGGAGTAGAAACAATAACTTCTTAATATTACTTGTTTGCCTCTTGGTCAAACAATGAAAGGAAGCGCAATACAATCAAACTAGATATAGCAATTTTGAGCTGAGTTTCGAAAGTAGTTTGCCATCGTCTGGGTTTGCGATCGGCCGAGAAAATTTGCGTTACCCTATAAGCGAGTCAGATGAAATTTGCAACCGTTCCGAGGTTGCGCAGGAGATTGGGTCGAGTTATGTTTCGCAAAGCATCACGGGGTTGTTTTGGAAACCATTAATATTTTTCTCATTGACTCGCTGTAATTTAATCTTTGTTTTGATTTGCTGTTGTGATTAGTTTTGGTTTGGTTTTGCAAAATGTTTTAACAAGAATCTCTCTGTTAAGGGTAACGTCAGACTATGCAAATGTCGTGAAAACGATTATAAAAGTCACTGAACCTCCCAAACGTTGGAGGTTACCGAATTTTGAAGGGTAACAATAAGATATTTGCATGGAACTTTGAGACGTTATTATTATTAAGAGCCCATATCGGTTTGCTGTCTTTTGGCTATTGGTCTCAAGTTTTCGTAGTAAATACCATTGAAGTAGAAAGTCTTTCACCCAGTAACTTATTTTTTCCTCCATGTAGGAGTTCGTTTTATTGGGACGTCCAAACGCCAGGAAGATTTTGGTTGTAATCACAGACAAGAGATCCACGAGCGAAATCAGTGACGTCACTAAAGCAGCCAGAATCCTGGAGCAGGAAGACGTCAGAGTTATACCAGTGGCGCTTGGAAACGAGGCTAACGTAAACGAGTTGCAGAAAATCACGCCGTGGCTGGATGATATAATAGAGACTGACAAGGATAGCAATCCGTATAAAGTGGCAGAGGTGATTCTGAAGATTGGGTTGGAAGGTTGGTGGGAAAACTTTTATACATTCAGTGACCGTTGTCGTTGTCAGTGACCGACGTCTTGGCAAACTGAGTAGAAGTGTTTATCAGGGTCAAGACTTCCCCTCAGACACTCGGAAAGCCAGTCACTGCTCCCTGTTACAGAAATTTGTAGAAAACGTAATTACACATCGAGTTATACCAAAAACAAACATTTCTGGTTAAAAATTTGTTATCAGACGGTTATCAGGTTATGGAGTGTTGTGGAGGCTACTATCTTTTTAACCCCTAAGAGTGACCAGCATCTAATTTCTCCCTACAATATCGCCCCTGGATCAAACATCAAGGTTGCGAGAATAAAGGAAATGATCACCAACTAAAGAAGCTCTTGATGGTTAAGCAAATTCTCCTTGTCAGCACCTTAGGAAATATATAAAGAACAGTATAGATATGCTTACTGATGCTAGGCGGTAGGGGGTTAATTAATACTTGAGGTAATGATTTTATACTTTTGATTAAATTATACAACCTTTGTAATTACTTCGTTTCGCCACAGTTTTTACTGTTTTCCTTTATTTGCAGATAAACCAAAACTTCCAGAATTGGATCTTGCCTTCGCCATTAGCGCCACAGCTCTGAAAGCCGGTGACAACCTCAAGAAAACTAAAGACATAATCAAGGATATTGTCGGCAAATATGGAATCAATAAAATGCACTACAGTCTGGGTACATTTGGAAGCAAGCTAAACGTCATTATCAAGTTCAGCCGACAGGTAAACAGTAATGCTCAGTTCATGCGTCTGGTGGATTCTGTCCGCGGAGTCCAACGAGGCTCTGACTTGGCTAAAGCTCTGGAAGAGTCCTCAGCCATGTTTACCGAGGAGAATGGAGGGCGACCGAATGCCAAAAAGATATTAGTTGTGATCATCGATAACAAGTCAGACAGTTCTGGTGATGACACTGAAGATGCTGCGGCTTTGGTGAGGGAAGCTGGCATCCGAGTGATCCCAGTTGGGCTTGACAGAGCGGACAGAGGTGAGCTGGACAAGACGACAGCTGTGGAGGAGGATGTGCTGACACCACCAGACAGCGACACGGCTCAAAACATTGCAGAGGATATTATAAGAAGGGCACTGAATGGTAAGAAAACCACGTGATCTTTGTTGACGGAGTGCCACGTGGAAGGTTGTAGGTAGGAATCCAGTTAATTAGACTTTAGATTTTTTATTATATTTTTCTTATCTTTCAGAGACAGCATCAGTTCCTCTTTTAGATTTGGGCTTTGCAATCAGCGCATCAGCACAGGATGCAGACAAAACGTTTACTCTGATGACAGAAGCTATAGACTCCATTGCAACACATTACGAGGCCAGCAAAATCCGCTACGCTTTACTGACATTTGGTAGCACAGTCAGTAAAGAGGTTACTTTCACTGAAGATTCGCCCAACCCAGAAGAACTACGAAAGGCTTTAGAAGGGGCTAGTAGACCGAGTGGTGCACCAGACTTAAAGAAAGCTCTCGAGGAGGCAAAGATGATGTTCAAACAGGCGACCCCTCGACCCGGAGCTAAGAAGGTTCTTATAGTAATAATGGATAAAAAGTCAGCCAGTGATGCCAGTGATGTTAAAGAGGCAGCTAAACTGTTGGAAGACGTGAATGTCAAAGTGGTCCCTGTGGCAGTGGGTTCCGAAGTCAGTCTATCTGAACTTGAAAAGACAACAACTAATAAGAAATTCATCGTTATCGTCGGAAATGATGAGGATCCAGAGAGACTTGGAGAAGAAATAATCAGAAAAGCTTTAAAGAGTGAGTGTTTTGTTTCCCTTAAAGCGTGTAACTTGCCTTAGGCCTTATGCGCCTTTATGCGTCTTTTCTTGCTAGTATTAGAATCAATGACTGATGCTTCCTTGTTGAAGTAGCTGTTGGGATCATTTATACGCGAAAGTCTTTGTCTTGACCTGTTGGCATCCCCGGGAGGGATTATATTGAACGTAAAATGTGAATGAATCACTTAAAGTACTTTCGCTCTCTACGTATATGGTGAAGCACCGTGAAAATATGTTACTACGTGAACATTAAAACAAATGTCATCTCTGTTTTCTTACAGATCTTCCAACAGTCCCAATGGTCAACTTGATCTTCGCGATCAGTAGTCTCTCCTTTAATGCGAACGAGAAGTTCCAAAAGATGAAAAACATCATCAAAACCATGGTAAATGAATATGGCAAGGAAAGGATTCACTACAGTCTCATTGTGTTTGGAAACGAACCTTCGGTTGAGCTGAGATTCTCCAGGACCTTTGATAGCGACGCTGAGCTTAAAGCACACTTTGATCTTCAGGCCAGAGTCTCGGACGGAGCTGCTTTGGATAAAGCCTTGAAGAAGGCTGCTGATTTGTTCGGGGAATATTACCGGGAGGGTGCTAAGAACGTGCTGGTGGTGATAATGGACAAGAGGTCTACCAGCAACAGAAAGGATGTGCAGAGCATGGCTGTTCCATTGTGGGAGGATGACGTCGAGGTAATTCCGATTGCGTTTGGGAGCCAGGCTGACAAGAAGGAGCTGGAGTTGATTACGCCTCATAAGGAAAATTTGATATTGGCATATGTGAATAATAAGACGGTAAACATTGCTCAGAGAATCATGGACAAAATGATGAAAGGTAAAGTGGCAAAATCGAGGCGGTTTAATTGTCATCTCAGGAAAACGCAATAATATTTCTGTTAATGAAAATCACTTTCGTACCTGCTGATGAAACTTTTTAAAGTTGCAAATCAGTCGCTTCGAAAGGTATTGTGTGCACTTCCAGGGAGTGTTTTGTTTCCGACTGACGTCTACACCAGCAGGTAAATTTAAATGATAGGACTCGTCCTCTTAGTCAAATCAGCTTTGATAATTTAGGGTGGCCAGCAGAAGAGGCGTTTCTTTTTTGGAGCCAAACCTCTCGTGGCTTTGCCGCTCGACGCAAAGGTTTGTGTGTAACAAAACCGCGCTAACAAAATAGCCAGCTAAGCAGGGTAAAATCAGGGCTGCTCTGCTCACTGCATATCAGCCGTTACAATCTGCGACCTCATCTTCCAACAGTTAAAGACACTTTTCTTCCTATTTTACTGTTCACGTTGGATGACTTTATTATTTGGTGTTTTCCTAGCTATACCGATGGTAGACTTGGCCTTCGCCATCAGTTCCAATGCTGCTGGAAAAGAGGAAACGTTTCAGAAAATCAAAGACGCCATTGACTTTATTATTACATACTACGGCAACGATCGCATTCGTTATGCAGTGGTCACATTTGGTTCATCTTCGTACGACGACGTCAAGTTCCAAGATGGTCAGACAGTGGATGAACTCAGACAATTAATCGAACGTCTTCCTCGTGCTACTGGTGTACCAAATCTGAAAGAGGCGCTGGAGACAGCAAAAGGAGTATTTGATCAAGCGTTAGACAGACCAAGGGCCAAAAAGTTCTTGGTTGTTGTCATGGATTCCAAATCAGGAAACCAGCCAGGAGAGATCCAACAAGGTGCAAAAGCTTTAGAGGAGGAAGAAATCAAGGTGGGTCAGCTTCGTTTTGTCAATTTTAACCCTTTTATTCCTAAAGCCTGATTGCTAATTCTCCTCTCTAGCTGCCACATGTTTCCTTGCAAATCGGTTAAAAATACAAGGATAACGACTACCTTTCTATCTTGTTCTTGCAGGTCATTCCAGTATCCATTGGCACCGGTGCTAGTCGCAACGAATTGGAAAAAATCACCACAAACCGGAAGAATATGATATCCTCACCAAAAGATGAAGAACCTAAAGCTCTGGGAAAGAAGATCATAAGCATTGTCATAAAAGGTAATGAACTTCTCCTGTCTCTTTATTTTTGCTGACCAATTTTTCTTTGGCGTCTTGTGATATTTACCTTATTTACGGTTGGTCGATGTAATAACGTTGGAGCTGGGTTTCGCGGCTCGAGAGGAATCAGATTTTTCTTTGTCTCACGCACGAGGCAAAACGAATAGCGATGGTAAATTTTGGGATAAAAAATTCGTCATTCGTCTTGTTACGAATCGAACCCTAGCCATTCGGAATCTGCCCTCCAATGCTCTGTCACTGAACTTTGAGCCATGCAATGACTGGCTTCATAAGTCACCCAACTCAACAGAGGAGCAGTGATAAAGCGTCGGTGCGCGGAGTCGAGAGCGCGGAATCTGTGAGGGAATCTTACTTGGGGTTGCTTTTGCCTCACTGAATCGAAAAACGTTCAAAAGGGGAATTTAGGATTTTATCTGTTCCTCATCAGATTATCCATCGATAGAGAGGGTAGACATGGTCATTGCAATCAGTTGCACGGCGACACTTGGCGAGAAAAACTTCCAGAAGACCAAGGATGTAATTGATTCTATAGTCACGGAGTATGGCCGGGAGCGTATTCGTTATGGCGTGGTGATATTCGGAAGGGAGCCAAAGAAAGCTTTGCGTTTGGTTGATAGTTACAATACAGACGAACAACTAATGGCAAAGTTGAATTCGTTTGACCGAGAAACAGGCAGTGCTGACTTAGCAAAGGTAGGGTATGGGCAGGTATAATAACAGTTTTTGGTATCGTCCCAGCTTGTTACCTCTTGAATACGAACTGCGGGGAAAACTACGCTGGTGCAATTCCCAGAAGTTTCTAGATCTTCTGTTGCGGCAAAAAATCTGACGGTATTGAAATTGGAAAGAGCGAGGAAGATGTTTTTGACATTGTTGATCCTAATCGTATGCATAACGCTTGCCACACATGACCTCAACAATTTTTTGTAGCTTAGTGGGTTCAGATCTTCCGACCGCAAAATCGGATGGTCATCCGTTAAAATTCTCACTGGGGACACACCGTTTTCCTTCCTTGTCCCATGATCGAGACAAACTTTTAAAATATCTCTTCCATAAGAGCGATTTGACAAAAAATTCACTTAGAACTCGATCACTTTCACGTTCAGACTTGATGTTAGAACATATGCTTCTTCGGTGATTCATGATTGAAGAAAACTTACTTTGCAATCCCCTTCGTCAAAAGAGCTCGATGATAACTAGTCGCTTGCTCAAGGAAAAACTCAGCAACTTGTCTTAATCATTTTGCTAGCTTTTTAGACGATGCCATTTTCTATCTTTGTCTCGAAATGTTGTCCTCGACAATATGAATTGCAGCAGAAGTGCTTTTTATGCTGCGAAAGATGAAAAATTACGGTTGAAATTGAGACAAAACTTTGCCAAAAAAACGAATATTGTTTGTCATCTTTGTTATGTTTTAGGCTCTCAAGACTTCATGGGACATGATTTCAGAAGAAGGGAGATCCAACGCCAAAAAAGTCTTAGTCGTTGTTTCAGACCGAAGTTCTCGATCCACAGACAGAGAAATACAAAATGCGTTGAAGCCTTTACAAGACAATAACGTCATAGTTATTCCTGTCGCCCTCGGAGTCACGGCTGATGAAAAGCAACTTCGTCTACTGACCGATGACGAGAGTTCGTTTATGACAGCTAAAACCACTGATGAAACTAGCGAAACTAAGAATAAATTGATGGTTATTGTCTTTAAAGGTTTGTTTGACACGAATGTAAAATTCACTCAGAAAAATTATGCTAATGTAAAATGACTTCATTTCTCACCTGTACTAACTCGTGATGGAAAAGTTATGAAAAATTATTGCACTGATGCATTTGTACCCAACAGGCCTTGCAGTCGTTCTAGCGGTGCTTGATTAGCTTTGAACCTC